TTTGTAAAAAAACGACTACACAATCAAAATTGTTTCCAGGGAATTTACAACAAACAGAGGAAATCCTTTATTTTAGAATGGCCAAGTCTAAGCCCTGGCCAAAGTCTGATTTAAATGCTGAGTTCGGATTTCATTCTGTTTAAACAAGACGTCCTAAAATTATATGTGAACTAAAACAATTCTTTGTGCGGGAATGGGCCAAAATCAGTGGTGTATTTAGGTTTTGTGCTGCCCTAGGCAAGACTAGATTTGGGCACCCCCCCATGGCTAGTCAGAGGAAAGTGAAAACGTTCCCCTAAAGGACAATTTAAACCTCGCGTTTTCTTGTATATCTACTGCTAGCAAGCGATGTGTATATATAAATCAGCCAGCAAGCAGTAGATATATGCAAAAACATTACAAAGCAAAAGTAACAAAGGTTAAAACTTACCTGTGTCTCGGGCAGCCGCAAAGGATGATGGGGCACGCGCATGCTCAGTAGAGATCTTCGGCCGGGAGAAGAGAGGCACAGTGAGATGCCTTGTTTGCCTCGTGCTAGATACGCCCCTGGCCAAAATAACTCATATCCACTGATTTATATTTGTCTATGCTTAGTTATATTTGTGTAAATGTGTTTAAGATGTTGCACATTTTTTACAATTAGCATACCCTTTGTAGTTTGCAGGATGCGCTAGTTAACTAGTAAGGGGTCTAAAAGTGAACCTGGGCCTAGATCATGTATTTATATATTCTGAACAAGCAGTAAAATAACTCTAAAACAAGCGCTCATTCATCCCTGTATCTATAAGCATTGCACATCAATTCATTTTTTAATTCAGAACTCAGGCATTTCAATCTTAGCTCTTTCTTTATTACTTCCTTATGCACTGGACTTTCGGCACGCTACCAGCCCTCTAATGGAAGCTACCAGCAGGCATTTGTATTATATTAGAAAGAACTGAAAGTCTTTGTTGTGATTTTTCAGGACCTTTGAGAAGGAACAACATCACATAAAACGCTGCTAGGTAGGTCAGGGATGACTTGTTGTAAAGCATTTTTTGCTGCTTGTTAAGACATTATAAATAGTGTAATTTGCATAGTCTGATAAGCTTTAGAATGTTTGTCCACCCAAATTTTTTTTTCAGTTTTGGATAGGGTGGGAAGGATTAGAACACCCTGAGTACAGTTTTACCAGACATGAAGGGTAAACCTTCAATGGCAACATGGACATAAATAAAGTAGAGGAAGACTAGAACCCCCAGCCTTATACAGTGTCCCTGTTGGAAGTTTTCCAACAGGGACTGGCCACATACTGTATATTTAAATAAAAGTGATTTTAATAGAATTTAACAAGAAACCCAGAGTCTTTAACAAACATAAGTCAATGACATAAAAAACGCACCAGTCTTTTTTCCCCATAGTCTTTTTTAACTTGGAAAAAGAATGCATTTTTGGGGATATAATGTTTACCAAGTACAGTCAGGAAAGTTGCAGCATATTGAACCAGAAATATACAAATAAAAGGGGGTAAATAATTATAATTATATACTGATATTAACACCTGAATAGAATACAAGAACATTGAATCATGGGATACTAATGAAAGAAGATTGCAACAGATTGCAACAAAACACTTTTTTTGGCACATTATTACTCTCAGTGAATTCCCATCCCAATGACAATTCCACCTTTTCTTGCTCCTGCTCTTCCTCCTTCCTATCCCAATGAAGACTGCTCCTTTCCTTTCGTCTTCTCCTTCCTATACTATTGAAGACTGCTCCTTTTCTTGCATCTTCTCCTTCTCTTTCCTATCCCACTGAAGGCTGCTAATTTTCTTGCGCCTTCTACTCCCCCTTCCTATCCCAATGATGACTGCTCCTTTTCTTGGTCCGCCTAGTCCCCCTTCCTATCCCAATGATGACTGCTCCTTTTCTTGCTCCTTCTCCTATCCTATCCCAATGACAACTGCTCCTTTTCTTGTCCTGCTCTTCCTCCCTCCTATCCCAGTGACTACTGCTCATTTTCTTGCTCCTTCTCCTCTTCCTTCCCATCCCAGTGACAACTGATCCTTTTCTTGCTCTTGCTTATTTCTAACTCAGTGACAACTGCTCCTTTTCTTGCTCCTGATTATTTCTATTCCATTGATGACTGTTCCTTTTCTTATCCTGTTCCTTCTCCTTCCTATTCCAGTGACAACTGCTCATTTTCTTGCTCCTGCTTATTTCTATCTCAGTGAAAACTTCTTTTTGTATCCAGCTGTCAAAGCTGCTCCCTTAAGAGAGTGCTAGTATGAGAGGCTGTTTTAAATATTGAATGTTTTTTGTTATAAATGGATGTTTTTGCAATAATTTTCAGTACCGTGGGATAGTGTCATCCTTTTTAATTTATGTATTTTCCTGCTATACGGCCCTTTTGAAGGACACACATTTTGTTCACTGTTTTTTTGGTGCATGCTGAATATACGTATTTATAGCACTACAAGATTCATAGCAATACCATTTTAAAACAGCATTATACAAAATAAAAAATGCACAACTGATGCAACTAAAAGCTGAATTACATAATATTGTTCATGTCAAATGTTCTTTAATGTGAAATATCCACTGTAATATCCTCCCACTCTCCCATTATATGAAATACCATAGCCAGAGCTCTTATGCTACAGTAAATGTAACTATGCAGAGCCAAATTTGGTTCTGTGGTGCATGCTGGGGTATGCTGCCAATCGTCAAGTTTTGTAGGAGCCAGAAGTCATAAATAAACAGGTAGCATTTTACTTAATGTTATCACTGTGTTCCTTAGAAGAAAAATTACTGTATTTTATAGATAACACAGAGAAATATTACAATCGAAAGCCAATGAATCAACAGAATTGCTGTTTCAGCAGGCTTAGTTTGCTGAGAGCATAAACAGTTAGACAATGGAGTAAAATTATAGGTTCAAAATCAGGATTTACATTTAATATCTGTGAACCGCACAGTAAGATTAGGCAGGGGCTAAGAGATTTTTTTTTTAAAGTAGTATAAAGCACTCAAACCTTTTTTATCATAATGAATCCAGATCAAACAAATATACATTGCCCAGCAATGTATTTCTTTACATTTTTGTCCAAACGCTTACAGTCATCATGTTTCAGAACAGCTCCAACTCTCATAACTCAGCTTCCCTGAACTTCCTGTCCAGTGCAGGATCGTAAGGGACGTAGCAGTCTCCAGCAGTTGTTCATCTACTAGCTTGGCAGAAGGAAGAGCAGGGAGCAGGATTCTAATACTTTTAAACATCAAGGTACAGCATCCAGTGTACGAGATTTAATCAGCATTTAAAATAGCTTAAAAACATTTTGACTTCACTTTAAAGAAAAATGACGATGTTTCAGAATAATTTGGTGCTGACTTGTGCTGCTATGAATGTTAACAGGGAATAGATCTCAGTTTGTCACATAAGTATCAGGTAAAGATGAGAATTGTGCAACCAGGAATTTGCTGTTCACATAAATTAATGAAGTGAAGAGTCTCAACTCCTTTCACTTGTGTCTGTGGCAAAATTTTTAGCTTTCATTATTGTTCTACATACAGATTTAAGCCACTAATATGATACTTAGTAAAAGAAACAAGGTTTAGGCAAGACCACACACCCACTGTATGAGAGTGGCTTGTACAAATCGAGCATATATATGAGATGGAAGAGCTACTTGCCACCTAACAGGATGCTCTGGATAGATTCAGAACAATGTGGGCCTGCTGGTCCTACCAGGGGCGCAACTAGAAATCACAGGGCCCCATGGCAAAATTTTGTATGGGGCTGTGTGATTTCTAACTATGCCCTTGCAGAGCCCACTTGAGATCCCAAACAGCCCACCTGAGAGTGACCCTGCAGACTCTCTATGGTGGGCTCTGCAGAGTCTCAGGTGGGCTGCACACCTCTTACCTGTCAGCCCCGATCCGCTTCCATGGTCGCTGGCAGGCCCCGCCTCCTTCGTTGCTGGGCCCCACCTCCTCTTCAGTCACCGGGCCCCGCCTCCTCTTCCATCGCCGGGCCCGCCTCCTCCTCCGCTTCTGACGCCGGGCCCAGCCTTCCTCCTCCACAGCTGCTGGCTGTCACTGACTGAGCAGCGGCTGTGAGGAGGAACACGCCGCTGCACAGATTGCTGGCAGGTTGTTGGTGATCTAACAGCGACATGTTCCTCCTCACACCCGCCAGTGAAAGCCAGCAGCCTGAGATGCCATAGCGACCCAGGCGGCCCGCATGGCATCAGGGGGATGTCCTGGCCGTGCCTCCCTGTGCCCTGGGCACCATTGCGGGCGCCTGGGTCGCTATGGCGATTGTTACGCCACTGGGTCCTATTTTACTAGTATTGAGGACTTTGCTAAATTGAAACACTGAATCCATTGCTTGAGCGAATGCTCTAATATGTCAAATCAGTCCCCTTTCTTTGTCACGCCTTACCTTTCAACCAAGCTCAGGTACCTCCCACTTCCTGACCTTTCGCCCTCCATTGCCAATCCGTGCAAATACCCACTTTCCTCACTTCCCTCCCCCCTATCACCCCTTTCCCTCCCTTCTCCATCTACTTAACTACAACACTTTACTTTCTTAATTTCTTTTTGTTTCTATACCTGGCTCCTTTGCTTATAGGTCCCCCTGCATTTTAATGCCTAGGGTTACTATGGGATTTGACAAAATGTCAGCTTTCACTATTGCAAGAAATATGACCTTCCTTTTCATACTCATTATTATAGAATTCTATTATAGATTGGCAACACCTTTCATTGTGCATGCGACATAGGACCTGTTCACGCTTTCACTGAATGTAAAATGATAAATGTACTTATAATTTAGTTGCTTATCTCTTGAATGTTACTGTTGTCAGTTCGCTTCTTTGAATTTCATTTTGTGAGGTATTGCAATGCAAACTATTTTCTTACTTTGTTTGTATTACAAAAACTAAATACAACTTATTTGAAACAAAAAAGAAAAAGAAACAAGGTTTAATTTGCACTTATTGCTCTGTCCTTTTGTAGAGTTATACGCCGTACCCGAGCAGGGACCACGACAGTATCCTGACACTGGGGAGGCAGACAGCCACCTTGCGCAGTCAGTTCCTCGATCTTCGTGCTATGGCAGACAGGTAAGATGTTTATTGTCATTTGCAAGAACATAACTTGAACCATTTACATGGCAGGCAGCAGAGCTACATAAATAACTCATCTAATGTGATACTGTGTAGCTGACCAAGCACATTGTTCAAGTACACATAGCTTCTTCCTTAGCAGAGGTAGCCATTTTGTGTGCTGGGCCACTTTTTAGTATTGCAGCTTATCAGATTAATAGGAACTATTAGCATTATTGAGGTTTCATTATTTTTAAAGAACTGTTAGCCTGAACTTTCCTTCAGCCCACATAATGGCTGCCTCCACTTCCGTAGAGCAAAATATTTATTGTATACATTTCTTGTCTTGTCTTCCCATCCAGGGGTCTTAGCGAGGTGAAGGGTGAAATTTCCCGTAGCTCGCGGCGCATGCATACAGCCTGCTTAAATCTAGACTCCAACCTGCGCCTCTCTCAGAACGCTGCTGGGTCTTCCCTGCATACGGCCCGCCTTGAACAGCAGCTGCGAGACAAAGTACGACAAATGATCCAGATGCAGAGCCAGTGGGATGCTGAGAAAGTGGAACTGAACGCCAGGTAGTAGCACCACGGGGCGGTTTGGTCATTCCCTAAAAAGGCTAATAAGCTGATTCTAATAGCCTTAATGTGATACATGTGATACAGTTTGACTTTTCCCTTTGGCTCTAATGCTGTCAGAAGCAAAACCCACCCTTCTGGTCCCGAGTGCCCCCAAAGTCACCTAAGAGTTTGTATATCTAGATGTCAGCTGTTGTATTACAGCTCTGTGAGTATTCATGAAAGCCAGCTGCAGTGAATATGTGTTTTGGCCAGTGGCCCTGTGTACATGCTTGCTGAGTGACATGGTCAGTTTGCTTAGCATCATAATACCTCTAAAGTAAATGTAGAGTGTAGAATTTACCCACATTGACACTATAGCCTTTGTTCACTCCCTCAGCTCCCCGTTTTCTTCCCCTAATGGAGCTCTATCATGCTGCCTAATTACACAAGTCAAAGAACATTAAATGCTGGGCTAGCCTAACATTTAAAAAAGAACCCTAGAAAGAAATGTTATTAACTTGTTTGCTACCCCCGCACTGCAAGGGTTAACTGCTTGTTTTTGCCTAGGGTAAAAAAAAGTTATACTCACCCAAGACAACAGGACTCCCTCAAGCCCGTCTCCTCCTCCCCTGCAGCGATGGTATGTCCCTCAGCATTGGACATGACTCGAGGATTCCTAGACCGCTGCAGCAGAGAGGGAGAGAGGCTCCAGGGACCGGTCTAACAGCAGGCCTGCTCGGAAAAACTCAGGTATCTTTTTTTTCTTTGCTGCCGTCTTGGAGGATTGGGTGAGTATAACTTTTTTTTAATGCTACGCAAAAACAAGCAGTTAACCCTTGCGGTGCGGGGGTAGCCCCACTGCAAGGGTTAATACAATTTCTGCCCGGAGTTCCTTAAATCTTTTCTCTCCTGTCTGTGACTATAGGTGTAAGAAACTGACATTTCTGACACTGACATGTAATTGTACTTTATTTTATCCTGCGGCCAGTGTGTTATCCCACTCAAGTGTCATGCAGTGTTCTGTTTAGGATAAAACCTTTAGACCAGTGGTTCTCAACCTGTGTAACCTCAGGACCCACATTTGTCCTTGGTCATTAAGTCGTGACCCAAGTTGCACTGCAATAGAACGCACGGCAGTACTGTACTGCGCGTTCCAATGCGGGCAATAGAACTGTGGGTGGGAGTTCCATTTGGGGTGCCATTCAAAAGAATGGCAATGCAATACACTTTTCACACCAAAACGCGTGGTAGGTGTGATTGCAAAATACAGTGAGTTAATCGCACGGCACTGTGCGATTAACGCACTGCACTGCACTAGTGTGAATGGGCCCTCAAAAACACACAACCACAGACACAATCTCTCCCACACACATACACACTCCAAAAAAGGGGGGGGGAGTCCGGGGACGTCGATGTCCATGGCGTCACCGGATCTCCGATGGGACTCCCGGAAGCCGGCCGAGAGGTGAGTATTTTCATTTTCGATCAAAAGAATTTTAATCGATCAAAAAGTTTAACGATTAATCGAGGAATTAATCGTTAATTTCCCCAGCCCTACTTTTTTTTAAGATCCACCCAGTCTCCCTACCTTCTGAGAACTGGAGTGGATCCTTAGCCTGGGGTCTGGTGTGGGCTGCTGTACTGTGATGGAGCTCCAACCATATGTGCAATGCTTGTACAGCTCCCTTCAACACCCTGTAGAGGTGCCAAGAGCCAGAATGTGATGTCACTCCGGTCCAGGCACCTCTACAGGACATGCGATGAAGCCGACCCCACCTCAAGCTGACACTCAGCACTGGGCAGCATATTTTGAATGGCTGCTTGGCGCAAGAACTGACAGTGCTGCGCTAGGGGGAGGCTTTTCTCATCTAGAAAAGTGGAAGGCCCATGGGGACCCACTGAACACGGGGTCGCAGCCCACTTTGGGTCACGACCCACCAGTTGAGAACCAAGGCTTTAGATACATGTGGCTGTTGCAGATAAAATTAACCCCTTCATGACTGAGCTTGTTTTTAGTTTCTGTTCGTAAATGACTGACACACTTTTGACATTTTTGCTGTGTGATTCTTCCACGTCAGTAATATACTTTCTTACAAAGTGCACCCACACATATTATATATTGTTTTTTAGAGGACAGATAGGGCTACATATTTATATCACATATGTGTGTCTAACGCCTCACTTAGGACAAATAAAATATAAAAAAAGAGGAAAAAAATGTTTAAAAAAAACACTTTTTTCCCAGTTTTGATTTGTAGTATTTTTTTTACAACACCAGCACAGCTAAAAAAAATGCAATAAATACATTCATTTATTTGTCCCTTATTTTATTTTTTTTTACACATTTTTTTTTACACTTTTCACAAGTTTTTTTTTTTTACACTTTTCACTTTTTTTTAAACTTAAAAATGTTATTTTATTTATTTAATTATATCAAGCAGTCATTGTGAATTAATCTCACTGTTACTGCTTGATAAATTAATAAATTTTTGGTTATTATCAGGCTGCTTCAAACTTCAGAACAGCCAATAATAAGTTAGTGACACTGATCCTGCAGCAGTTCAGGATTCAGCTGTTACTAAGGGTTTTCTGATTGTTGCAACAACGATCAGCAAACTGAAACATTCTTCTTCCAGGAATAGATACATTATAGGAATAGACACATGATGTATCTATTCATGAAAGAAAAAAAAAAGCCAGTATAGCTTGAGAGAGATATCTCTCTCGATCTATACGAGCTGTCAGAATGGCCCAAAAGCCGGCATCTGTGTCCCTCTGCTGTGACTCTCAGACACCCGATATTAAGGTATCGGGTGTCTGAAAAAGGTTAACCCTTTCATTAATGAATGCCTCTGTAGTAAGGGCATCCATTAATGAATGTTAAAAGCTGATTCTCAGCGATTAACAGCCCTCTAAAGCAGCAAATAACTTGTCACTTACAGTGTACGTGACAAGTCATTTGGTCCCTTTGTGGCTGGACGTACAGTGTACGTCTCCCGTCACGAAGGGGTTAAATGCGGGGTCTGATTTGCAAAGACTGAAACAAAGAAAGCTCTAAAAATTATCCTCACTTGTCTTTCCACTTCCTATATGAGTAATGGATGTGTTTTGTTTTTTTACTGAATTAGATCTAATGTCCTGTATATAGTTCTTTACCAGTGATATAAAGTCACATTTACATAGATGAAACCTGATTGGTTGTTCAGGGCAACTGTTTCATATTTTCTCTAGTTTTCGTAAATGACTCCATTATAGCACAAAGGCAAGGGAACTTCCTGGAAAATACTGTCTAGATACTGGTCAGGTTATTTCAGATTGTGGGCAGTTAGGGCTCATTCACACTGTGTGCAGTGACATGTGTTAGTGTATTGTCTATTCAGATCAATGCAGGCATATACAGTAGATAGAAACAGTTGCTTTCTATGTGCCGTTCCACCACAATGTAGGTGATGTGCACTGCAGGAACACAACACATCACACAGCACCGCATGTCACTGCTTCGTAACATGCTGCAGAGACATGAATGAAGTATCACATTGTGACACTTCAATAAAGTTAAAGTGACACAAAACTCAGGATTTAAATCATAAGAATCCATTCAAGTACCCTAACTATTACCAAAAATATAATGTATCTTCCACGGGCTTAACTAGAAATCACAGGGCCCCATAGCAAAATTTTGGGATTTCTAGTTATGCCCACCTGATAACCCAAACAGCCCACCTGAGAGTGACCCTGCAGAGCCCACCATAGATTCTCTATGGTGGGCTCTGCAGGGTCTCAGATGGGCTGGTCAAACCCTCTTACCTGTCAGCCCCTATCCACTGTCTGCCTCCTCCACGGTCGCTGTTGGGCTCCGCCTCCTCCGTCACCGGGCCCCGCCTCCATCACTGCCGACGCCGGGTCCAGCCTCCTCCTCTGCAGCTGCTGGCTGTCAGTGACTCAGCAGCGGCTGTGAGGAGGAACGCGGCACTGCACAGATGACAGGTTGTCAGTGATCTGAACAGTGGCGGGTTCCTCCTCACAGCCACCAGTGATAGCCAGCAGCCTGAGATGCCATAGTGATGTCCTGGCCGGGCCCCTATGTGCCTCGGGCGCCATAGCAGCCGCCTGGGTTGCTATGGCGATTGTTCCGCCACTGGTATCTTGTGTATCACTCGGCTGTAGATCCTCAGATCATCTCTGAATTGGTGCTGACACTGTCTTTCCTTCTGGAGGGTGGCTACTTCTGTTTTCCTTGGTCCCTGTGTGTGTTATAAAGTAGCTACCGCTCTAAGCTCACTCCCGTGATGGACTACAATCTCACGTTTAGTTTACTAATTTGTATTGAGATTGTAGTCCATCACGGGACCATGGGGAACAAAAGTAGCCCCCCTCCAGAAGGAAGGACAGTGTCAGCACCAATTCAGAGATGATTTGGGGATCTACAGCCGAGTGATACACAAATAAGATACATTTTTGTTAATAGTTAATGTACTTGAATGCATTTTTAAGATTTAACTCCTGAGTTTAGTGTCACTTTAAAAAGGTAAACAGTCCCTTGGATTGTGACAATGCAAGGCAACACTCCTAACCACTGCTAAACAGCAGACACCAGTCCGCACACTAAAACAAATGGCAGGTTTTAGCTGGTGTGAATGAGCCCTTATCTGGCAGAGATATGCTGGATTATCATAATGACAGAATATGGAAACCTGGACTAAATGTGGTTACTATATAAAACAGTTCAGGTTTTCCTCATTTTTATATCAATCAATCCCTTCAAAGTCAGGCCGCACACTGATATTATCATTACAGGATCTTACTCATTTATGTTGTGGGCTTAATTACCATGAATGCAAAACCACATCAATAAATTCGACACAAGTGTAAGAACGCCATTTATTTTTAGTCCGTCCAGATTTGTTTTTCTTGTCTCACACACTTGTAGCACCTGTACGAAGTTTACATAAATATTACAGTAACTGTTATGAGAAATGCTGATGACACGGTTGAGCCAACACTTCTGACGCTGTAAGCTGGAAACCATTTGTCAGGACCGGAAATATTATCCTGTATAAGTAGCCGGATTGGCAATAACCTTCTGACCTTCTTAAGGGGCTGAAAACGCAAACAGAAAGAAACAGGAAGGCTTGATACTTTTCTTATGATTGGGATAAATAGATTCCTTTGTCTCATACTTGTAGACAACACCCGGAATCCAAGAGATGGTGTTAGCAGTGTGCGTGATTCATTACCTTGGACTGTAGCCTGTACGTCACCCAATCATCTGTTTACAAAGTAGACGTGGGCACTTTAGTTGGAGGAGGTTAATACAGTCTTAGGTGCTTGATTGGTCATCATTAATATAAACTTGTTAATTATGCCTACAGGTATTGAATAATCTCTTAGGATCCTCTTTTTCCTGTATTTCTTCTGTGCAATGCCCCTTCTCACACATGCACTGAAAGCCAAATTATTTTGAGGTTAAGTGTAACAAATCCTCTGGTGCTCCTCTAACTGCTGTTTCAGCAGTTTTCTATATGAACATTGCATTGTTTCTCAATGATGTTGTTGTGTCCAGGGAACGCAGTAGTGTCCATTTTCATGATCATTGGTTGAGCCTATTATATTACCTCCTTCAACATTTAGGGCATTTGATGATTGTAGTTAAAAGAGAAAAACCCAGTCTCATGGAAAAGCTGGACATTGTTATGAAAATAGGAGCTGCTGAAATCACTAAATCCAATCTGTGAATTATTTTACCTTTTGTTTTGCAAAGTGAGAGAAGTAAGTTTGCTGTTCAGGACCTGACACCCTGAAAACTTTTATGTCTGTGCTCACCTACTTAACTTACCCCTTCATTACATCATGTTAGGCACAACATAGCTCCCAGCTGTTCCTCATTCAGAGGGACTGTCTCTCTTTAGGAACTAAATCCCTCTGTCCCTATTTTCTCCTCAGTTGTCCCTCTTTCTGGCCTGATACTGTATCTATATCTCCATAAACATTTTATTATTAACTATCAAGAGTTTTATTGCCTTTATATAGCCTTTAACTTATTCCATTTGTTATTTTGAAAAGCCAAAATAAAGGAAATGTAGGGACTAAAAAAGAAATTTGGGGTTAAACCAATCATTGTTTGAGCAATAATCATCATGGTCCATGTTACTGGAGGCATGGCAGATGTGTGTCCTTTGCCTACATACTTCATACTGTAACGTGTTCCCTCTTTTCCTTTTTGCAAAGTTGGGAGGTAAGGTACAATAAGGAAGCATCTGTTGCGACATGGGGCCTACGCATTTGTTTAGACCTGCTGAGGTATGGCAGGGCACTAACAGGATCTCTTTTTTTCATCTTGCACTTAGGCATTATTGGTCATCCAGAAATTGTATTGTTTTTCAGCCAGTTTAGGTCCAAATACTGCTGTTCTTCTTTAATAATTACTCTTTTATACAGTAAGAAAGGGCAGGTTGAATAAAACAATGAAACTCAGTTTCCTAATTTTATCGTAAACTGTAATTGTTTAGTAAATGTAATTTATCATTGTAATACTTTGCAATTTCTTCTCACAGAGTGACAGAGTTGTCGCTAAAGGTTGACAAGCTTAAAGAAGAGAACAGTAAGCTAGAGAAGGAGAAACACAAACTGGTGAGTTAACTGGTAATTCAGTCTGTTGCTAAACCCCCTCAGTGGTTAAATTCAGCTGAATGTGACCCACAAGAAGAATAGAGTTTGTAAATCATGTAGAAATCTGTATTAATGTCAGTGGCATTTCTGTTTGTAGGTTTTGCTCTTAATTATTTGGTTTGTTTTATATAATCTGGAGAGTATTTACATTATGTGGTAGCATAATAACATTTATAGAATATGAACCTCAAATCATGGTTATGGGGAACATATAGTCCAAGGTACCTGGTGAAACATAAACCAAATAAACCGTTTAAGAGCGGGAATCCTCTGACTTACCCAAAGGGGTGTGATGTATGTGGAGACAAAGAAACACTAGATGAGGTGTGCTCTACCTTCCATTCATGAGACCAGTAATAGAAAGTGGTTTTTGCTGTTGTGTACCAAGGGGTACCTCAGCCATCTTAATACGTAAGCATATGCTATTGTGTGACACCTATCTGTAATAATATTAGTACCCTCAGATGTGCCCTGTGTTTCTCATTTTTGTCTGCACATAATATATTTCCATTGAGGGACACAGGATTATGTCCATGACATATGGGATATGCTGCTGCCTTTAGGAGGTTTGGACACTGGCAAATAAAAAATGTTAAGTCAGCCCCCACATAACCCCACCTCCAACAATCAGGCCCGGACACTACTGTCCTAGGAGGTCAGATGCCTTTTCCTCTGCTCTATTGTGGAAAACCCCTAATTCATTTTTTGTTTTCATTCTCTTCTCTTCAATCAATATATTTGTTATTTGTGGAATTTCTTTCTATCTGGTATCTCTAATTCGCTGCTTAAACTAGTCTTTGTATATCAGCTATGTGGATCGGCGTGTCCTTACACTAAAGATTGAGGGGGTATCCTGGAATGTGAACCTGCCAGTGGCACTTTCCCCACCTTAGTGTACTGTGGTAGTTAGCTGCAGAGCGCTTTCCAGTGAACTGCATGCTTGTGTTGTCTACTAGTGTGACGTGCCTTCTTTGACTTCCTTTTCCAACCTCTTTCAGCCTGGCAGACACACTGTACTGTTAGCGCTATCGCTTTGACAGTACTCTTGGAATCATCTGGTATCAACTCTGGTTCCACTGCCTGCCAATAGTGACTCTCTTTCATTTATTGATGTTACTGATTTACTCCATCCTAAGGTATCAACTGGATACCTAAGGTATCAGTGTTCATCCTATACAGGCTGTGATTCAAATTTGTGCATCAGTGTCAGAATGGATTTTGCTTACAAAAGAGACCATTCCATCTCCAGGATAGATATGCATACCCTGGGACATCTGGATAGAATGTATACAGCCCTGCTGAAGATCTACTACCGGCATCTAGGCTTGCCTCCCACATGGGCCTGATGTCTATTCAAATGCATAGAGCACTATGGCTCCATGCTTGGGAAACCGAGGATGCGCCTAAAGGAGAACTATGAGGTGAGTGATTTCCACTCATCCTCATAGTTAGAGCTGACCTGTGACAAAGAAGCTGTCACAGGTCGGCTCTATCGATTGGGAAGTGAGCAGAAACATGCACCGATCCCCTCACTTGCTGATCGTCTCCCTGCGGTTACTGTCAGTCACCGCTCCCCGCAGGGATTCCCCCCTACCCCTCTCCGATCCTCCAGTGCCAGCTGTCACTCATGCAGTATTGTCGGGAGCCATCCCGGCTACGGCACTCTCAGTATATTGCGGGCAATAGCCCGTAATATACTGAGCTTTGGGTTATGGGAGGAGGTTAGTATATGTCCTTCCATTACCCTAAAGAGAACTAAGGGGAAAAACACTTATCCCATAGTTCTCTTTTAAGTACCATTTCATTTATTCTCCTTTCAATAGTAAACACCTATTTGGCTTTATCATTGGCCAAGTTACTCCTGATATATCAGGTGCTCGGGGTATACCTCCTCCCCACCGCAGCAAACCATTAGATGATGTAGATTGGCCTCATTCTTCATCTACCTTTACAACAGTTCCTCGTAGATGTATGCAGTCCTTCTCTCATTCAACAAGCAGAACTCGAGGCCATAAATCTTCAGTCTTTTCCGCTTAGCCCGCTACATGAAGACTGTCCCCCTTCACGTGTTAGTGCTACCTATAAGTTGTGAAGCTCAGGCTTTCATTACTTACTCCTACTCCTTACTCCAAAAGACAGATACTCCTATCTGTCTTTTGTGCCTTCATTCCTGAGGTACCTTTTGTGTCCGGTTAGAAATGTACTATACCACCTACTCTCCTATTTTGCTGTGCAGTCTCTTCCTATATTTGGGTCTTATACTCCTTATTATGCTTCATTCTTTCATGCCTTTTCCTCTCTGTAGGAATTTCTGAACTCCCTACTCTTCAGGAATCAGTTTCCTTTAGCTTACTAATTTGCAAATTCTTTCCATGACACAAGACTATATAAAATCCCTTTTATATTCTTACTGCAAAAGTCAGTGTTGCATATCCTACAAGGTCCTGAAATGTGACCTTTCTTGAGTGCATCAAATCACATCCCATTGCCCTCTGTTTAAGTTTCTTTAGGTTATTATAGAAAATCTCTTTTCTTCAGGTACCAATGTTAATATTGGTATTTTATCCCTTCCCTCTCCTCAGGTATTTTTTTTTTCTTTTAAGACGTTTGAAATCCTTATCCTGAGGATGTATCTATATCACAAGTAAGCATGCTTTGCTAATTCTCCTGTACCTCCCTGTACAGTCAGTGGGAATGATTTACTGAAGGCAAATAGGCAGTTCACTTAGCAAGGAAATGTTTACTTTGCAAGAAAATTTTCCCTTTAATGAATCAGGTGAAGCTCTGCTGACCTCCATCATCCAATCATGCACAAGTAAAAATACTCTTTTCTTTTCCTTGCCCTTGATTGGGTCGTCTTTACAAAATTAATTTTCACCACATTCTCTAAGCTAAAGGTAAATTCCCAAAGTGCAAAGTGAGCAGCCTATTTGCCTTTAGTAAATCAACCTCAAAAGGTAGCATTTCTATTTTGCCATAGTCCCATGGCCTCGAGCTCTGCTTGTTGTTTGAGAGAAGGACTGCATACATCTATGAGGAGCTGTTGTAAACGTAGATGAAGAATGAGGCCAATCTACATCATCTAATGGTTTGCTGTGGTGGGGAGGTACAGGTCAGACAAGATCAGAGGCAACCTTAGCCCCTTAGGGAGGCAGGGGGTGCTGTTGGCGGGACACTGGCCAGAGCATCCTATTCAGCTCTTGGCAACCAGTAACATCACTGGTTGCCTGGACGTGGGCAGGATGCTTGCCAGAGCATCCCGCTCAGCTCCTAGCAACCAGTGATGTCACTGGTTGCCAGGAGCTGAGCAGGACACTGGCCATAGCATCCCAGGTTGCTAAGAGCCCCCAACTCTTAGCAGCCTGGGACGCTCTGGCCCAAAAGGGGGCAGCAGGCACACTGCAAACATTGTGCAGCAGAGCGGACATGCTGCTCTGCCTGCCGCCACAA